TCTAGACTGAGACCCAGTAGTATCACCAATTCTAGTGATTCATGGAGAGTTATTAATTGGTTCAGTTGGCAGCATCATTTCATCGCCTATTGTTACCACATTGCTAATAAGAACATCATCTAAAACGGAAGTATTGGACATGATTGGGAGATGAGTGTAAAAACAACTCAGGAACAATGACCAAAAAGAATACTGTTGCAGGATTTGAAATGGAAATCCGGCGCTCTAATCTTTGACAACAAAACATGAAAAAGTAAAATTCTAAGCCGAACTCTCTTATATTATTTTAAAGAAGATAAGGCATCCAAGGAACTCAGTGTGTGGAAGTAAAACCTTTGAAATGCTTAATGGATTACGATATGTAGGTAGTGTACAAGTAGGTTCTTGAGACTACTCTTATGCTATGACTAAGTCGGAAGAGTTAAGAATTACACAAAGAAGCTTCCGAAGTGAAGTCTAACTATAACAGAGAGTATAACGTCCGACAAAAATAGCTGGAGCTAGACTAACCTCGAGCAAATGCGAAAGAGTCAATTCTCTGCAATACAGTTTCATCATAACTTCCCGTCGATAAGAAGGTTCATAATGCAGCCATTGGCTGTGAACCTTCTAGTGGGAGCTTATGCAAGCGTTACTGGTGCCTCGCCTCCTAAGTAGCAAAACAAAAATATCAGTTTCGTTGGATGGTTTCCACGGATGTCAAACGACAATTATATTTCACACAATCATCTCTAGGCGACTGATGTTTGATCCAAGAACATGGTTGACCTACGACCAAGATCTACTCAATGAACCACCAGACAGTGTATCTTTCTGGATACTTTCAACTTCTCGATTGCCAAAATTTATAAAATGCCTCGGGACATGTGTGCGAATGTATAAGAAACTGTTGTGAGATGTGGAAGCTTGGTTGAGCAAGAGCCAGGACTACGGAGTCATGAGTACGAAAAGTGGAAATTTCACCCGAAATTAGAATTGTATAGAGCTCTTGACGTGTACTTTGACAAGTTTAGGAGATCGCCTAGAATACTGTGTGATAATCTACCTCTTGCATTAGGGTATTGAGAAGATAATTTTATCAGCATATTTCCATTTCTTTGCATAGAGAAGTAATGAATAGATTATCCAGGAGATCAATCGGATTTGATGAATGTGCTTTGAATGTTATTTTTTTAAATAGGGTTTGATATAGATTGTTCAAAACTTCTAGGTTTTATCGGATGCATATCCTATTGAATACTTTGGATTACTACTCACTATTTAAGTATTTATTTCCATCTTTGTATGGGTTGATGAGGTATTCCCTATTTACTTGGACCTTTTATTTGAAAATAAATCCTTGTTGAACAGTTCGTAGTCGTCATAGAGCATAAACCTGATCTATCTACTTTCCACGAGATTTGTTCAGCATGGTACCTTAGAGTCATGAGCTGTTCATATGACTACATGAATGGGATCAATTTTTATCCTAAGCAAACTGATGATGAAAAGGTAGGACGCTAAATTAAAGGGTGATAAACACAATCTCTCCAAATGTTTTACAGGGTTTTTTTTAAGACCAAAAAACTACAAACTAAACTAAGCAATTTCAAACTTTTTTCGTAGCAACTCAGACCGTAGCAGTCAGTCATTCGCAGTAGTCACCAGGTCAAGAGCATGCCGGTGTCTAGGTCTGACGCTTGACCGGATACTGGTGGCCGCCGGTGTCGGAGACTTTGGCTCATGATTCAGTGACTCGTCGCAAGGACGGCGCTCAGTTGACTGACCTTGCCTTCATTGGCTCAGCGAGGTCACCGTCGCGGTTAGACGAACTCGATCATAGACTTCGAGGCATCCAGTGAATAATTAGCCACCCTTAGGTGATGTACAATTATTGGAATTGATTGCTGTTATAATGCAAAAGTCAACTTCATTCCCTTCATACTGAAGATGAATAATTCACATATGTGAAGTCTACAACGCTTGAACATATACCCAAATATTATAACTTGAACATACACCCAAATCCAAGCGTTTTATAAATTCTAACAATTGATAAGTTTGAAGTATCAAGAATTACTACTTGGCCGCTAGTTCAGATGACTTAAAGGAGCAATGGAGTAGATCTTATTCGTAGGTCAATCATGTTCTTGAGCCGAACATTTGTCGCAGCTTCGAGTTGTACTTTAGACTTTGTCCTCTATCAATATTGCTCAGCTGGTAATGGAGCCCACGTGATGGGATGATTGCCTTTTGGCATACCTGGAAACATTCCCAACTAAACAAAAATATCTGTTCTGGTATCTACGAGTCAGCGAACCACTCACATACGCCCCCTCTACAAGGTTCAAAGCCAAAGGATTGATGGATTAAGTGGAAATATGTCGATACTTACATCAACTAATCGGATCTAGCTCGTGGTAAAATCCTTGAGAGGTTTGCTCCTGGAGCACGCCGGAGTGGTCTTCATTTTGACCCAAGAGATTGGCCTTTGATCCTAATGTCTTCATCACTCCCGTAAGTCTAATCTTCATGAAAAATCTGAGTGAGAATGCACATTATGTCTCACATTAAGGACAGTAGTAGTGATTGATATGGCTTTTCTTGATATATTCTTTCACTAGATGTACATATCTCAAAGTATATACTACCATTTTATTGTATATTCCTAATTTGGGATCTCATATAACAAGGCTTCATGATTACGACCACATAGCATCAGTATAGTTATATAACTATACTGATGCATTGTAATACAAAGACAAACCAGTAAATTTACATAAGCAATAGCCACAACAATAGTAATACATCCCATCACATATATAATAAAACTACTATTTTAATAAATTCAAATTCAACCTAGTAAATTAAATGTATAATCTAATTAATGAGCAAAAACTCTTGAATAAGAAATTATTCAAGTTTGACATTGACAATTATGAAAAAAAAATCCCCAATTACTTCCATTGTTTGAAAATTTATTAGATTAAACAATTTGGACTTTTTGAACAGAATATAAAACATAATTTCAACAATAGCATGAAATAATTTATTTTTTTTGGAAATCCATTAGAAAAATCATGATGGTGAATTGAAGATAATATTTTATCATAAACGTTGATTTTTATAATGTTGAAATCAGATATATCTTTCAGACTCAATGTAGATTAAGAGCTGCATCCCATCATATTTTATTCTAGTCTCTCAACTTTCAACGCTGTACTTTAGTGGTTGATATGTTATCTATGCTTCTAGTTTGTATTCATTCAGTTGGAAGTATATGTTCTCCCTGCGTCAAGCTCTTTTTTTATCACTATATCTCCGGAAGGTAAGCTAAATAATTACACAACTTCACTTGACTCTTTTGATTTGGATTCTGTTTTCCAAAATTTCCTAAATCTAAGCAGCTGATGCATCCAATAATGGATTTCCTATTGCGAATTATGATAGAATTCAATAATACTTCGAATGATTACCTACAATGATCCATGCATGAATGGGTGCAAAGCTACAAGTTGTGTGAAGTTATTCAAGAGTCTATATTCGATTTTTTAGCTATGATTGTTCAATGAGATTTGCTTTTAAGCTTGGGATGTGCTTAAGTGCGGTAAATTTGGTCCATGGCGCGCCTCAACATAATCTTACGCTTATCTCACGAGAGAGAGAGAGAGAGATGAAAGATCAAGTGTTGGATTCCAAGTCAGCGTCCGACATTAGCTTCAGGTCTCGAAGCTAAATTTGTTTATGATTAGATGTGTGCTGCCAGCGGGAAATGCCATTTAGCTTTGCGAAATTCTTTCGCAAATCACTGACAAAAAATTTTTAATCTGTCAACTTAATAGTGAATGATAAAAAGCTAGAAAAATCTTCGATCAAGCTCCAATTGTCAACAAATTATCTGTAGGTAGGTTTCACCTATGAAACAGTGAGAAGCCAAGCAGATGCAACAGTAACATTTCTAAGATACTATAATTTTCTCAAAAAGCCCATCAGAAGAAAAAAACTCGAAACTCGAGAAGTGTTCCTGAGACAGAGCTTTCAGAAAGATAAAGCTAGCGAAAAGCCCGCAAAAATTTAAAACATTTAGCTCGTTTTCTACACATCACATCCAGTCATATGAAATGGGAATACTGTACTCTCCAGCCTAAGTAGGTATTAACCGTCTCAGGTGACATTTGAAGCATGAAGACTTCGCTTTCTGATTCAAGTACAGAAGCCAACATTTGTAGGTACGACAAACAATTGTTCAGGAGTCGGAACTTGGCATCGCCCATGGATAAGCTCGCTCTTACGTAATGTATATCGAGGCAACCGTCAAGGCACGCCTCCTAAGCATCGTAGATGCGGCCATTTGGCAACACGAGCCCGAGTGCCAAATGGCCATACCGCTTCGGACCAGAGGAGAAGATAATTTGTCCTCTTCTTAGCCACCGACTCAGCGAGTGAAGCGTGCACTACGGATTCAGTTATGGGAGCTGAGTACCGTCTGGAATCGTTAGTACTGTATTACAATGGTTTGCTCACTATCCAACCTCCATGTCTTTTTTACAGAATCCCAACGACGAGAACGACAAAGTGGTCCTGTCTGTCTGCAAAAAAGGTCCATATCCCCACATTTCGATCGTACTCATTGATTGTCTATTCCTGTCAGACATAAACTAATATTTCCAGGTACGAAAAGGGGAAACCAGAACTCAAAAGTGCAATGTTCGTCGCTCGATGTTCAGATGGAGTAGCTGTTTTCCACAGCCCTGCAAGAATAGGCTCAACCTCCTCTCACTAAAATAAATTATGTGCGGCAGATAAACAGCACACCCCGCTTGAGTATCTAAACGATGCTGACGTTCTTCTTCACATTAAACTGACGTGTGTCATCAACACCTTCTTCTGCTTCTTATCGCATCTACAGCATCTGCAGATCAGAATACAAAGCTTCTTCTCTCTGTTTGTCACCTTCCTTTAACATCTGGAGGCTAAATCAGAGTCGCAATACGGTAGACTCAGAGCACTGAAACGGAAAGTCCACAAACAAAACCCTCTTCAGATTTTTCTATTACTTCAAGTCGAGTAAATACCTCTCTGTACACATTTGGATTTTAGCCTGGGAGGAAATGAATGCTTCGAGATGTGAGTGTTGTGACCCTGTCGGATTTTCACTTCCTAAAACTCATTCTATAGTGTCTCTGTTTTGTACATCGGCTGAGCATCAGGACGTTGACAGCATAATACGTGGAAAGCCCGCCACCAAGAACTATTACATGAAGGAATTTCATGCATTGGAACCAGTGATGACACCGAATAATCTTTACAGAGCACGAGGAATCATGGAGAAGGATCATGATTCTCTCGGGTCGTGAAGATGACGAGATCCATGCTAGCAAAATCGAAGAAATAACGTGCTCTCGGAAAGTTGATGTACAGGCCTAACTCTCGAAATCCGTAATCAATTGAATACCCAGATCATGGTCTATTACTGGACAGTCCTTGATGTAGTCGACGACCTGATCGATTCGCTGCCCATTGACATCCGAATCATGGGGGCAGGAGTATTCTTTGATCGAGAACTGATTACAAACTTCCACCGTCGGGCTGCGCTCACAGGACGTGGAGGATTCTGATCTGTAGTCGATGAACCAGGGAGTGAGCGCCCCAAAACTCTGAGCCAAACCTCCGAACGTGGACATGGGAGTAACCATCAGATGGTCCGACAGACTCAGCAGAATCACCTCTGTAAATGCCTGTCTATCCGCCTCCAAACTGAACTCCTGTGTTTCATCCTGCGTAATTTGCACCAGCCCCACATCCTCCCCGGAAACGGTAGGCTTGAGCACATACAGCTTTGACAGGCTCTCGTGCACGCCGGGGAACAGAGACGCAATGAACACTTTCACCACAGGATTCGGCGCAGAAGTGTTGGTGGCCGCGAGCAGCTTCGAATTCAGCTCGGAAGTCAGTCTCGGAAGAAGGCCATTCTCCAGAGCGCAATCCGTGATCCGCTTGTTCACCACGTCGTTCATCTTGTTGTACATCTCGCGTCCATCTCGGTACCTCACTTGCAGGCCCAGCTGCCGATCCGCACCGGACAAGTAAACATGGTGAATTCTTCTCACTCGATCCCACACTGTGTTATCGGGAAGCAGGAGCGATCTTACCACTCGCGTCATGGCCATGCGATCGGGAAACAGGCCCTCCAAGACGGGCCGGAACGAAGGAATCGCGAAGAGCTTCGGAATCGTGTAGATGCATCCGGACGTGTACATCCAGATGCTCTGAGAATAGGCCCTCTGCTCTGTGTCGCAGTAGAATCTGCCCTTGGGCTGCCACTCGTGTCTCGTGACTCCCACGGCGTAGGCCAAAGGCCCGAGACTGGTCCCGTTCACCTTCGGTTCTCTCTTCATCGCCCGGTCGACTCTGTCGGAGAACTCTGCGTCCAGTATCCAGGAGCCATCACCTGTAACAAACTGCTCGGGCGGAGTGGGAAAGGTCTCGGGATCCAAGCGCCATGAAGATCCAGGAAAGGGCTCGCAAGTGAATTCTGGCACCAAGTTCGTCGTGGGAACGAGGAGCACCCGCTGAGTCATGATCGCGTAGAGGATTCCCGACGCCAGAGTGAACATCTTGTTTCCCAGCCCCGTGCCGAAGGCCACATCTGCCACTAAGAATTTGCAGGGAGAGCTGTCATCCTTCTTTGCAAAGTAGCCTTTGGGATCTCGAATCGATTTGGTGCAAACTCTGTGATACCTTGAGTATTCTGCGAACAATTCGTCCCAGACCGGATTGGGAGGCAGAGACTTGGCAACTTTTCTCTCGGCGTACATGGGAATGAGTTCCGACCTGCTCAAACAAGGATTGGCGGCCTGCCAGTCTTCCAGCTCCGTAGCACTCATGTTCATCCCGTACGTGGTCCCTAAACCGATACTCCTCGTCGTGTTCCTGAGTCTTTGGATCAACTCCTGCGCAGTTTTCGGCTGCTCCACGTACCTGGCCCCGGAGCCTGGCTGATGTGTCTCCTGCAGACTGACCACGGTGTAGAAAATTTGATCCTGAATTACTGTCCAGTTGTAGAAAGCCAGCATAACGAGCGCGACTATCGTCACGCAGATGGCTGACAGACTTCTCACTTGTACCTTGTCCATCTTGCACACCCGCAACAGGTTTGAAGAAATCTCTGCAACCTTTTTTCTATCGGGCAAACCCTGTGATTCCTGTCTGACAGCCTCAAGGACTTGAGATCTGGGGCTGCAGCGGCCGATGAATTCGGACTGTCAATTTAGATGGGATTCGAAGCGGAGATGGTGTACTCAAGCTGGTCGAATTTATAGGGTGCACTGCCGGTTTCAAACACCCTCGAGCTTGATAAAGATGTGGGAATCCCATACCCCTCCTTCCGATCGTCAGCTCAGTCGAGAATTTGGAGCACGGGGTTCATAAACTAGATCCGCGACTCGTCCAACAATCGACACCACGGGACGGCTGAATATTCATAGACTCGAGAGCTGCACCCTTCTTTACCCTTTCATACACGTCCAGCGAGAGATCTACGCCGCCCAGCTTTCGAAACTCCTCATGTCCAAGCGATTTATCCATCCCTCTGCAGCCGTCTCCGTGATTCCTTACAGTACGAGCCACACATCTGACAAAATCACCAAAACGTCGAGTACAGACCGACTTAATCGAGTTCAAGGATTATCCGTTTCTGCCGCCTGCACTCGTGCTTTTCTTCTTAGATCATCCCTTCCGCAGGCTGTGCTGCTAATCCTCAATTCTTCAGTCGATTGATTTGAGAATTGTGCACACTTTTTTCTTTTTCTCGCTGTGACAAATCCGCCATTCAACGCGGTAAGCGGGCCCCGTCAGTTTCACGACTGCATTAAACGAAACAGTTTGACATCGTACGTGTTCTCCTTCCTTCTCTTCTCTTCTCCTCTTCTTGACTGTCCAAGTTCACTTTACTTTACTGACCAGGACGGACGTGGTCGATCTGACTCCTGTGCCGTTGCACGCAGTATCTCGGTAGGAACCATAATGCCTTCACCACGTGGTTGAGGCCACGGTTCAGCGCAACCGCGGAGATGACTTTGCTTCTGGACTGCGCAGTCAATGATCAAACGCCCAACTAACGACACGTCTCTCTATCTATTCGCCATGCTTTCGTCAGTCCGTCGTCCCCTTGCCTGCTGCTGCTGTCTGCTGCTGGCCAAGTGGACCTACGCTCGGGAGTGTTCAGATCGCTTCTCGGGCCGCAGGAGGCCACGGTAGATCGTGTTCCGGTTCGTGATTTGTCCGAATACCTTTAAGCGATAGACCAGGAGACGCTCGGTGCAAGAAGAACGGTCTCGCAAGAAACGAGACCGTGCAAAGGGCTGACGATCAGATCGTAATAACTCACGGGAGGAGAGCTCGCCAGGACGAGGCACTATGGTTGAAAGCATGCTGACCAGCTGCGCACTGCGATAAGCTTGAACTGCCAGGGCTGAAAAGAATCCGAATATACTGAACTGTGTACTGTATGTCCCGATTGTTTTCTTCAACTGTGCGCCGTGCAGTCACCTGATTCAGACCCTACAAAACTGGATCGACGGGCTTGTATACTCGAACCGAATTTATACAGGTCTCCTGTACAAGCTTTATGACGAAAGAAACATCTGAAGCACACGTTCTCGGGTATTCAGCCAGCGAAGATAAGTCTAGTGCTGAAATATCTGACGGGACGCTCAACTTCTGCAAGGTCCTTGGCTGATCCAGAATATTCTGTTGCGAAAGCCCTCATGGCAGCGAATAAGCGTCCTGTCGTAACAGAAAAGCGAGCTCACTCACATTGCAGAAGGTAGAATTCCATCATAGACTTCTGGGTGGGGACCATGCTTTCTCGTCACGGTGGTGGGGTGTAGTTAGACCTGGCCGAGTTCAGGAGATCAGCTCGAGACCTCGATAGTTGACTCGGTTCAGAAGATGCAGGCCATTGGATGCTACTGTTTCTGTTATGAAGACGCAACAGCCTTTTGCTCTTGTTGCCCAGTCTGTGAGTCTAGAATCGGATGCGGCGGCCCCACTGTTTCGACGACACCTCGATCCTCTCCAAGCTCTGGCCCCATGCAACTCTATTCACGAACTGTACCGATTCTGCAGCCGGCTTTCCACAGTTTAAACACGTAAACGCCATTTTCCTCGAGAGTCTGATTGACATATAAAATCACTGTCTACAGACGACCCAAATTAAGGACCTACCTAGATATGACAGCAATGAGCAAGTCTACTTCTAGTTCCTGCGAGCTCAAACAAACTGCAACATGAACTTCGGAGTTTACATGTGAGCCGTACCAAGCTGACGGAGTTGTGACACCAGAACATCTGGGTTTGGAATTCATCTGGCCATAGAGCAAATACGCAGTCGAAGGAACCGTAACTTCACCGGTGCAGTATCGAGCTTGTCTTCTGCTTCCGGAAGTTCAATGATTATGTTTCATGGTGGTCAGCTCAATCAAGTTTAATCAACTGATAATTGCACGTTGTTCTTAAGGCCTAGCAGGTGATTTAGCGAGAGAGATTGTGTGATAACGAACTATAGTAGGCGTGAGGGTATTCCTTTTTCAGACATTTATTCGTCAAAGAGTTACCATCTTTGTACAGAGTACGCGTTGATGTTATACGTGACAGAGAAATCATATTATTTGATGCACCATTGTTTATAGATCGCTTGATTTAATATTTGAGAATTTGTTTGGGTTTTTAATTTTTTCTTATGACATTATTGTATTCCACCCATAGTTACCCAGTTCAAATCATCTTTCTGAGGTTTGACTGGATCTTTCATTACTTTTTGGCTAGAAACTTGAACGTTATTTTTTACACACAATTAAAGCAATATCAAACTAATTCTATGATGTAATAAGTTTTGCATCGAATACGTCTTCATCCCTAATTTGTGTTTATATTCTGTAAGAGTACACCGGTATTCACTCTTATCAAGTTCTATTGTGGTACATGTTAATTTCCAAGAACTATTTACAAAGCTTATTAAGGGAGTCATTGTTCTCAATATTTCATTATTTGAAATAATAATTGTTATTCAAAGACTTTTAAACGTTTTACGATATGCATAGATTTTTTTTCTTTTTCACAAACATTGGATTGTATACTCAAAATGTCAATGTTTGATTAACTATATTATAATCCATATAAACTAGCTAAATTTTGTGATAGTTGTACAGGCAAAATTCTGCATTGATCCACTATGTACATCCATTTCATTCTTGGATGAAGCATCAAGCAAAAAATTAAGTAAATTTTTATTTCATTTTTTACTTTTGTTTTTAAACAGATCACTCTTGTGATCATTGCTTTTGAAAGTCTCTTTAAAAAAACAGAAAAAATTAAAAAAATTAACAACAAAAGAAATGGTTTTATAATGTAAATTTTTTTGTTACGTATAGAGATAATAAGCATATCTCGTATTCAACATTGCTCAAGTTACTATATCATATAATAATAGCCATAATAATAATACATATATATATATATATATATATATCAAAATTGATAAATTCATTATTACCAGCCATGTTTTTTCATAAAAAGCATCTGATGTAATATGAATCTACATCTTTTGAAACTAAGTATTATCAAAATTTTAGATTTTACATTAAATGATCAAAATATTATTCAAGTGATCAGAGATTATTAGAAATAATATGTGACTATTATTATTAGTATTAAGTTTTTTATTAATTTCATCAATGAATAATATAAATTCATGCATATTTCAATCTTCTAAAACTATATAATGCAATAATATGTCTAGATTTTGTTACTTTCATCAAAATAAGTGTACAATAGTCTAGTTTCAAGTAATCACATTACATTTCACTAAGATGATTCAATCGAATAGAAAATAATTATAAATAAATTCAAAATAAAAATTTATTAAAATATAACAGAAATTTTATCAACTTTAATTGTGATTCTTCAACTAAAATTGATCTATTTTTATTAAATATTATTATAATTTAAAAATTATCATTACATCTTCCTTAAAATTAAAATCCAAATGAGAAAGTGGCTTTTTTTGTCAAACAAAATATCTATTTGATATTGATATTATTATCATTACAACAACCTTTTTGCAGTATGGTTTGAGAAAAAATCATTCAATGGCCTCAGAAAATAAAATTTATTTAAAAAATATTTTATATATAAATTTAAACAAGAATGATAACATCTGAATAAATTTTTCATCAATATAAATTTTATACATGATTTTAAATTGACTTCGAAAGAAGTAATTCATGTGATTATTTTTTGGTTGAAAATTGAAAATATTTAAAATAAAATAATCTGAAATGAGTAAAATTGACATTATTTTAGTGCATTTATATTTTAAAATTTTATTCGATAAAAAATGGGAAAAATACCTGGTTTTTTAACAAATTGAAAAATCTACTAGTAGATAAAGAATTAAATCGCAACATGTTTTACAATATAAACATAAATCAACTAAAATGATCCACTATCAACACAATTCATTTTATTTTTCTTTGAACCAATCTTTGATTAGAACAATATTAATCAATTTTGAATGCCATTTATTTTTCGCTTTACATGTAGTGATAAAATTTCACATACAAAATTTGAATATATTATGATGAATGATTAGTATTTTATTTGAATATGATTAAGTAATAAGATCCTAAATAACCTACTTTTATAAATTTTTAACTGGTGTTTAGATATTAAACCCTAAACCCTATTGATCTATTCAAACCAATTTACAAACTTATATCATTAAGGAATGTGATATGAATAATACTCCTCTATTTCACTCCTAAAAATTATCTATTAATCTTCTTGAGTCAAGATTTTTAAAAATTGATGTCATTACATGTGATATTGATTTTTAGCATATATTGAAATTGTAATTTTTTTCTTCATGAATAATTTGTCATATTTTATCACATCAAGCATTTTTTATAAAAAATATTACAACGATATTTTGAAATTATTTTTTTGAAAATAAAAATAATTTTTATTGAAATTTTTTTAGCATTATTAAAAATTGCTTTGACTTAGTAAAAAATTCGAATCATCATTAGTTCAAATTTTTTGAATGAAAAAATTCTTCATTAAAAAAAATTCATTTGATATTAAGAAAGTAAATAAAAATAAAAATGTAGTGTAACAAATGTGAAATAACAAGCATTGTTTAGAATTTAAACATCATCAATAATATATGAAGAGTTGCATAGAGCATACTTTTTCTTTGATAATAGATTGTTGAGTAAGTTGTACTTCTTAACATCAAAATGTTACATTTGATCCAGGTAACATTTGAGTTACATTGATCCAAAAAGAGTATTCTAATCTTGCTCATCACACACAAATACTTTTTATATTGATCATTTTTGCCACAATTCTAGCAGATTATTATTTTCATTTCTGAGAATTTATACCTAATCATGATATCTATATCTATGTCAAAATTTCTTCTCATTCCTGTTAATTTTTTGAATATAATTGTCGAGATTTCACATTTAGTGTTATGTTAAATGAATATGATGTAGTAAAAACATACTCATCTTGTGTTATAACTTATGAATTAACAAGATATTTATATTTTCATTGTAAATGATTGTCTTCCTATCACTAAAAAATAACACGTGTTATAATTATCAATGTGGAGTAAATGACATGCATGAGGAATAAAAATATTACTCTCATTATTTGCAAGAGGTTTGAAACTTTAAGATATGATCATCAATGTAAATTCTTTATCTATGATATAAAATTCATTAGCATCAAGAAAATAAAATCATTAAATTCATTACAACATTTTTTGCGATAAAAATGCTATACAAAAGTTACAGACAAAAAAGTACAATAGTCAAATACATTCATTTAGTAAAAGCCTAC